CCGGGATATCAAGATTCACGTGCGAAGGGACAAGCGAAAGGCTTCCTGGTATAAGAAAGAAAGTAGAGCTAGGCAAGGTCTTCTGTGAGTGAACGAGATGAGGATCGAGGCAGTTAAGTTCCACCAGGGTAGGTGCTTTCTTCGCGAGTATGTCTGTTGATGGCGCAGTGTCCTATCTGCTCAAGGAAAGCTGCCCAACTCAATGTGTTACGCATTAGCGGCATTTGCTACATAATCCGCATCTGTTGTCAGATATTTTACTATAAGGTAAGTGAGGACTTCTTCCAAGAACGGATTCTTCTTAATCTTAATTAAGTTGATTTGTTGCTGCTGATTTCAATAGCCAAGTCAAGCTTTCCAGCAGGCGAGACAGATGCCGATTCTACCTCTGTCAACTACCTCTTTATTTTATATTTTGATCACTCTTTTTTCCATCAACGATTGCCACGTGAAAGCTCTAAGTCAAGAAGTCAAGCCAGCAAGAAAGTCCGAAAGTGAGAAGGTACGGTTTCATCATCCTAAGCTACCTCACCTCACTAAGTCCAGTCTATGCGCCCTTAGCCCAAGGATAGAGACAGGGCTAATGCTTTGGTCATACTAGATGACGAGGCTTACCGAACTACCTTTGCCGTAACTCAGAGAGAGAAGGCCGCTCAAGCAGAATCCGAATACGACTCTCGCTAAACAAGAGCTCTTTACTGCTAAGCTGATCACAACTTCATATTCAACAACAGCAAGAAGACGACTCTAGCCCGCTGAAAGCTTTGAACATTCGCTTTTCTCGGGTTCCTAGCCCAAAGGTTCTAGGGTTCGAGAGAGAAATTCCTACTATAAGGAAGGGAAGAAGGTAATCCAATTAGTAGAATGCTGCTTTCTATCGGTTGTTCACATTCAAGCATGAGTTAGTTCAGAGTCGGCAAGGGGAATCAGAGAAAGGGCAGTTTAGTCAACAATCATGACCATGGGAACATTTGTTCGCTTTATAGGTACCCCCGAATCTACTAGTCATCGCCTTTGAGCTGGGAAAAGCATTTACCTGGAGTCGGCTATTCCTGATTCAGCAAAGGAAAGAAGCCTTGATCCCAAGACTAGCTGCGTCTTTTTCGACTAGTGAGTTGTTGCCTAGCCTTGGTCACTGAACTCGGTCACTGAAAGACCTTTCGAGTCGAACTATAGTGGATAAAATAGCTGCTTATTCTTCTTAAACGGATCCATCTTCTTTCGCTCCTAAATCAAGAAAAAAGCTTTTGTCGGCTCTGAGGCTGAGGAAAGCCGCTGACCAAAACCTAGCGTTCGCACCCCTTTCGAAGCGGAATAAAGGGAAAAGTGAGTTGCAAGTCGAGAAAGAGAGAGAGAACTGCCTAAAAGGAGAAGTAAAAAAAGGAGTCCTCGTAAAGCCTAAGGTAAGGAAGGCTGTTCACCAGGTAAGGCCTCCCATCCGGTCGAGAAGAAAGGGATTCCTTTGAAAGAAAGGGGAGTATACGAAGCGAAAAGGGAAGGTGGGAGGGGGTAAGGTAAAGTTGAGATAGGATCGTAAACCGCCACCCTTCCGCATCCGGTTGAGCCGATTGATCGAATGGCCTCATCAACAATAAGGTGGACTTCAATTGACGCGATAAGGTGTTAGAAGCACCCTGACGGGCCAGGGTATGCCGATGGTTGGAGGGCTACTTAACATCATTCTCTAATAAATCAGCCCCATGAGATCATCCCGTTGCACCCCTCACGCAACGTTAGAGGGCTGGGTCCCCTCCCAAGTCAAGTTATAAGGTAAGCGCTGTGCTAAGTTTAGAAGTCCGTCTATGTCGATTCAGTTGCAGTTATTCGCCTTTCTTGCGAGCCAGAAGTTTGAGTTGTTTTCCTTTCATTCACCCTCTCCCGCTATCCTAAGCCTTTCTTTCGTCCTGCCATTCTTTCTGCTAGCTATCTAGTGGGAGAAAAAAGAGAAGCCCCTCCTGTTGGCGTGCTATAAAATTGAATTTGAGTGATAGGCCAATGCTAAGTGTTCCATGTCGTTGGATAGTCGGTTCGAGGGCAAGGAAGGAAGTTCTCATTTTTAAGCCTGCGAGCTAGTAATTCCTCTCCTCGATAAAATGGGCATACCTTTAGATTTCCTTCGCTTCGTAAAGTAAACGACAATGGAAAGAGTGAAAAAAAGAGTGGAAGTTGCCCCTCCTAGGGTTCCAATTTTAGTTTTAGGTTACATTGGAGTCTCTTACTAGTCCATTTCTAATCCCTTTTAGCCAGTTTCCTTCTATCCCATTGAAGCAGTTGTACCAATTGCAACAGTCTTAAGGCCATTAGTTGGAGTGCTAAGTGCTGCTTTGGCAGTCGAGTTTTTTCTTACATCCAGTGCTACATCTAGAGGTCCAGTCCCCTAGGTCATTTGATATCTCTAGTCTGAGTTCCGTTCAACAAGCCAGTTCTGTTAGATCGCTTACAGTCCCCGTAGTGTCCAGTAGCTGTCTCTTTTTCTTACCTTAACCTTAGGCAAGCGAAAGACAGAGGCTTGAAATCAAAGTTAAGATATCTCCATCCGGTGGGAGTTGCTATCCATATAGTTCCATGGCAGTTCTACTTGCAGCCATTGATAGTTCTCTTGCATCCGCTTTCAATCCAGCAGAGTAAGGGGCAAAAGGATCTGACGCAAGTTGGAGGATCGACAGAAAGCTAGGGTTTTCTTCTCTCTTATTATCCTTTTCTAAGGAACGAAAGAGTTAACGATATTCTCGCTTAAGGATATATCTAGCCAAGCGATTCACCTGATCCAGACACGCCAATAGGCGGGTTTGAAGATAGTAAGTAAGAGTAGTGGCATTCTCATCAAAAGGATAAGTAAGTTCGCAATCCAGTGATAAAGTGAAAAAAGGTGCTTTTTTCTGCGCATATTCCCTGGTGAGGATATGCATATAATATTTTAGGTATTAGAGTGCATCAAGATTATAGGTTACAGTTTCTAATCTATAGGATTGATTCTGGCTTCTGTAGGACTACTAACTAGATTATGCTTTCTCTCCGGGCCTTTGCTAAAAACGTTGGAAGAAAATTTGTGCGAAGGCTTTCTGTGGGTAAGGCAAAGGTAGATGTAATATTGCGATATGTGTCTTACCTTGGTAATTCCTTTATTTACCTAGTGGGTCTAACTTTATGTCTAAGGAAGAGGATAATCGCCCTAAAGAGCCTGCCTAGTCCTTCTCGAATCCTGAGAGTTCTGTTCCATTTCGTAAGCGAGTGTTCAGTGTGAAGTACTTCCATTCGCCCCTCCTCCAATTGCGGACACCTTGTCAGAAGAGTTATCAAGCGCAAGGGAAAAGACTAGCAAGCCAATTACAGTCTTAAGGGTTGGTGTTCGAATTCTCTTCTCATTGGATCCAGTTGGAATTGTAGTTCTCTTTGCTGTTGTGCCAAGCGAGGGAGTTCTTTGATAACTCTACCAAGAATTAGGGTGCAGGCAAGTTTACTCGCTTCTCCTCGAATTGCATAAGAAAGATGGTTCTGGAGATAAATCCTACCCGCAAGCATTTGCTTATAGAATGGTGGAGGGAGGAAGAGGTAGCAATACATTCCGCCTGATGCTTGATCACTGCATTCGTGATATATCAAATGAGCTCTCCGATCTATGATGAAGAGTTCCTGTAGATAGGATCATATTTCTTTCTAGTCCTAAGCATTTTAATTGGACCTTTCTCCTTGACTTAAGTTTTGGAATATTTTCATCCGGGATTGGAACGACCTATGTTGTAACGGAGGAGAGAAGGTGAACCAGCTTCCTTTGGTCGCCTCTCCCGTCTGGTCGAGTAGCTTTCGCTCCTTCCTACTTACTTTATTATAATATAAGCGGGTGGCCTATTGGGAGCTTTTTAGTCATAGTGGGAGCTTTCGGAAATAACTTTGCAGGTCAAGATCATAGGAAGAGGGAAGAACAAGGGAGAAGATCTTTTTGAAAAGAAGACGATTCCAAAAGAAACTCAAAACGGAGAATAGGATGCCTTAAAGGTAAATAAGAAAGATCATAAATAAAAAAGAAAGAAAATAGCTGCCTAGCCCGCGGGAAACAGAAGGTTAGGTTAGGAAGGGAGAAAGGATATTTACCAAGACTACTGAAATAGCACAGATTCGGCTTGGGAGTTCTCACTCGGGCTACTAATCTCCTCTTCTCCTACTCATAAGAACCAGAACAGGCACTCGTAATCGTCCCTAACCTCTGTCTCTAACCTATTCCTTTTCCTCTGTCCTTTTACCCTTTGAACAGCAAGCCGGAACTGGATTACATTTCAATAGAGAAAGCTATCAATGGTCACATTGAGACGGGAACAGATGGGAAGTTCGCCCTCCAGTTCTATTCCTTTGGATGAGACGGCGGTGAGCAATCGATAGAGAGCAAGGGATGCTAGCGCTCTTCTACTCATATTCCTTGCTTCAGTTGGTTCAGGAAGCTTTGGCATCGAGACGCATTACGATAGCTATAGCTAGGCCGGGTGGGATTCTCTCTCTATCTAATGGTTATGAAAAAAGTGATGAATCAAGTGGATCCTTTGCCCCTTACCTCAGTAGCTGGGAAGGCAGGCCCTTAGCTTAACTAGTTCAGTTTGAGTCTTTCTCAGGAGTAGTTGCATTGCAAGTAGGCAGAAAATAAGTAGTGCGTTAGCTTATCTGTTCATTTTCAAACAACCCTTGTTTGTGCTCCTTTATCTTTCTAAGCCGCTCTCGCTAGCAGGGAATCTAGTTCAGCAAGGTCCATAGGGTGAGCTCGCTTGAAACTGGGGCGCGTCTGGTGGTATCGTATATAAGATCACACGGCTGCTTGCTTTTAGGAGCGATCTGTTCATCCAACTCGAAATATCGTAAGTAAGAGAAGAAGAAGAATCTGACGCCCAAAATTCCCATGTCTTTCTTGGTTGGACCAACCGGCGAAATCCGTCTTCCTTAATTGGAAGAGCAAGAACAAGTCTCTCCATTTTTTTGGGGGAGCAGAGCAGTCAAAGAATGAAACAGATCAAATGATTGTTCTAGAATGGCTATTTCTCACAATTGCTCCTTGTGATGCAGCGGAACCATGGCAATTAGGATCTCAAGACGCAGCAACACCTATGATGCAAGGAATAATAGACTTACATCACGATATCTTTTTCTTCCTCATTCTTATTTTGGTTTTCGTCTCACGGATCTTGGTTCGCGCTTTATGGCATTTCCAAAAAGAAAAAAATCCAATCCCGCAAAGGATTGTTCATGGAACTACTATCGAGATTCTTCGGACCATATTTCCTAGTATCATCCCGATGTTCATTGCTATACCATCATTTGCTCTCTTATACTCAATGGACGAGGTAGTAGTAAATCCAGCCATTACTATCAAAGCTATTGGACATCAATGGTATCGGAGTGCGCCTCTTCACGAGGGTGATTTAAGTGCAACGAAATGCCATAAGAATATGGTTCGCGAAGCATCTGGCTTACCGGTAATCTCCCATTCCCGCCGTCGAGAGACTTAAATAACTATAGCATGCCAGAAACGGGGAGTTGAGATGGTTAGACCTAGACCCCGAAATGCTCCCAGCATAGATGCATATGGTTCCATCTTGTTATTGCTGAAGGTACACATCCCTCTTCTCGGTGTGGAGCGATATACGAGAAATAGATGCTCAGCCTGAAATGTCCGATAACGGCGTTGAAGTAGTGAATCTATCGGCACCATAGCTGTGGCATACAACTTTGGACCTAACGGCCGGCCCAGAAACCTTTCGGAATGGGGGATCCCCGTTGGCAACAACCACGGTAGTAGTTGCGGAACTACTGGGCCGGGAGAGGACAACCTCTTGTTCATGCTCCTCTTTCTTCGCTTCGGGGACGGAGGTCCTACGGTAGGTAACAACAGGTACAAGCAACTTGACCGAAGGGGACCAGCGCTTCTACTCTTCCACCGAGGAGCCGTTCGCAGCGAGAAGCAAGGGATGTCGTGAACGGTGTGAGGTCACAGAGAATTTACGTATTTATAGAGTGATCCTATGATCGATACAGGATATAGACTATCTCTTTCTTTATTCGATTCTTTTTCTGAAAAAAAAGAAGGGTGACTCAACTTCTCAGCTAGAGTTGGGGGTGGGACTTGTTGGCATAATGCAAGCTGGAACGTGGGAATTCGAGGTATCATGAACTACTACTAAAAACCAACTTTTTTTTTCTTTTTGGACAAACGATATCAGGTCAGGTCTATGGATGGATCCAGATCTACGGGCCGGCCGGCCCCGGCCGATGAGCATAGGGAATCTATACTCGAGCGTTCAACTGGGCCCCTGACAGGATAGGTGAGGAATCTTGATATTTTTTATTGGGGCCTACAACTTCTCCGAGCCGACTAGCATCCCTTTCCACTGCGCATTTCTCGAACAAAGAAGACGACTATAGGATCGAATTCGCTTTCCATGGTGAACTGGTCGTCCCATACCTTCTGCCTGTCTCATATGTGTGGAACCAGGTCTTTTTCGGTTCCAGCCCCCCCCCCCCCTTTAATACATAGGGTAGGTGGGATTGGGTGAGAAAGGGTTCCCTGTTGCCAATAAACTTTCCCCGGCCTTCGATTCCCCTTACTCATAAAGGGTCTTACGGTCGGTACTAACTAAAGAAAAAGAGTCTTCTTTCTAAGAGTAGGCGTGGAGAGCTTTTTGCGGGGAAACTTGCAAGTACAGTTTGGGGGGAGACGGGCGTCGACCCAACCTTATGAGTATTCGGACTATAACAGTTCTGATGAACAGTCACTCACTTTTAACAGTTATACGATTCCAGAAGATGATCTAGAATTGGGTCAATTACGTTTATTAGAAGTGGACAATCGAGTGGTTGTACCAGCCAAAAGTCATCTACGTATTATTGTAACATCTGCTGATGTACTTCATAGTTGGGTTGTACCTTCCCCAGGTGTAAAGTGTGATGTTGTACCTGGTCGTTTAAATCAAACCTCTATTTCGGTACAACGAGAAGGAGTTTACTATGGTCAGTGCAGTGAGATTTGTGGAACTAATCATGCCTTTATGCGTGCGCCCGGAAAGATAGGCCGACTGCTGAGCCCACTCTGGCTCAGCCGCACCACCCAGGGTGCGAGCCACCCGAGAAGCAAGCTATTACAGCGAGCGGCTGGAGCAGTATGGAGCCGAGGAGCAAGGCAGTAGATAAGATAGAAGAAGGGTTCAGGCTCCCGGTGGAGCAGAGGATACGGTTAGGATAACGAACTTCAAACGCGGAGCCCGAGCGTCCGGCGAGCGAGTGGTTAGTGGCCAATAGCGCCCTAGTTGATGGCATTCCTCTCTGCGGCTGGCACTCGAGGAACCACAGGGCACTCCATACATAGCAAACAAGTCTTAGGGATGAGACGCCCGCGCAAGGACCTCAATTCTCATTAGGAGGTCGAACCAAGGACCTATGGAAGTCGGGGCTAGCCCGTCCCCTTGGGCAACGCAACAGTGTCCTGAGGGAGGAGTTTAGAGGCCTTATAGTAGCACGAACTTCTTTTTATTTCTAGGTCATGCGAAGGGGGCCAGTCCAAGATCGTACTGTTCCTCAATAAAGACAACAGACGCTCTCAACGGCTAGGCGCAACTCTCTTTCTGAGTTATTCCAGCTTCTTCATGATTTCGTGCCGCGGTGAACAAACAAACCAAAAATGAGGGCCATCTCAGCGGAAGGAGAAGGACCTGCAACGGCAGAGACTACTGACCCTATTCTTGTTCCTAGTCGTCTTTTACGAGTCCGGAAAGCCTCCTCAGAGGGATCCTAAAAATAGAATAGAGAAGGGCGGGCAGGGCTTCCGCAAGAGCCTCCCCCCTCTTCCCGGTCAAGATAGATGGGAAGGAGCCCTATCAAGGCCATAACCAGTCTCTTTCTTTATGTACGTACACCTTTGTTTCAGAGTGGGGCCGCCCTTCCTCCTGCTAATCCGGCCATTTCCGAACCTGTCTTTCTCATCCCATTCAATGGATGACTTTTCAATTCTGTCAATTCCCAGCCCCCTTAGCTATTATATATATATATATATATATATATATATATATAGATATATATATATATATATATATATATATATATATATATATATATATATTATTTGAAAAGGGTTCTGCTCGACTAAATAGGCTCAATGATCTCTTTCTTCGCTTCGTTCGATAGGCCAGTACGGCGCTCCGCGTGGTTATATTCATACATGTTCCGACTCGCCGGTCATTATGGATCTAGTGGCATGGCGGGGCAAAAGAAAAAAAAGGGGGGAAGCAAATACGAAGCTTCGTAGACTCGACAAGTCGCTCCGCTTATAGAATATAATGAAGCATGCTAGCGACTCTCCTAGTAGCGAAGGAAAGGGGCATTCGGGAAGCGACTAGTCGCTTCTGGCGAAGCTTCTAGAAGGCCAACCACTACATAGAGAGATCCATATACCAGTCATGAGCGATAGCGAAGCCTAGAGAGGCGCAGGGCAGGATCCAAGAGCTTAGAAAGGGTCAGGAAAGGAGCAGAGAAGGGGTTGGATTTCACCTATGATCAGATCAGTGGGCAACCATAGTTTACTTTTTTCGTAGTGTTGTTAACGTTGTTGAAAGCTCATTACTTATTTAAGTAGGCCTCGCTTTTCGGAGCTTCTCCCAGCTCACACTATGGTGGAGGAGGTGCCGTGAAGATCTAGGAGTGTGAGCAGTACGAGCTGAAAGGCTCCTATACTGTTTGGAGGGCAGGGGGCATAGATGCCAAACAAACCTGACCCCTATCTATCGTCGTAGAAGTTGTTCCTAGGACAGATTATGGTTCTCGGGTATCCAATCAATTAATCCCCCAAACCGGGGAAGCTTAAGCGGAAATGAAAGGGTAGGGTGAGGGAAAAGAAAAGGGGGGAAGCAACTAAATTGAAGGCTTCGCTCCTAGATCGCTTCGTGAGCTCATTTAGTAGACAGCGAGTGTGCGGCCATTTAGAGAAGAGATAGGGGCGAGTACTACACGAGCTCATAAGTCAAGTACGGAACGAGCCTTGTCTACGAAGCAGAGCGACCTCGTCTTGCTTGCTTCTGGCGAAGCTTCAAGCACTGGATAATAGGCATGGCAGGAATACGACTTTTTAGGTCGACCACTACACTACATAGAAGCGATAGCGAAGCCAAGCCGTATAAAGGCGAGAAGCCCTTATAGCAATAGCAAACGGCCTACTTATAGCCCTTCCCAATTTCCAGTAGTAAACTTCCCAAGTTTAAGCAGGATAACCCCCTCTCTATTCTTCTCTTCATGTATGTAGGCTGCCTGCCCCGTCCCGAATAGACGAACAGGAACAAGCTGAAGAAGCGAGAGAGATTTGAGATTTCGTAAGTAACTCAGTGCTAAGAAAGAAGGGCTTGGAAGAAGAAAATGAAATACGAACAACCGCACTGGTTGTAATAGATCGACTTTCATGCTAGTTCTTGCTCCAACATGAAAGTTCCATTTCAGGGAAGGACGACGTACTATGATACTTTCTGTTTTGTCGAGCCTTGCTTTGGTCTCTGGTTTGACGGTTGTACGTGCTAAAAATCCGGTACATTCCGTTTTGTTTCCCATCCCAGTCTTTCGCCCCTCATCGGTCTGAATCCCCACCCCCGCATAACACTTACTATATTTTTCAAGAAAAACTGAAAAAACGCTTCACTTCCTGACCTTATTCTCGAGTAGGAAGGGTTCTCGCTACTAAATAAATTTCTTCAGTTGAAGTAGCTCTTTCCTTAGATGTCTTTCAAGCTGAAGAAGTAAGGGCTTCTCCAGCATAAGCAGGTTTAGGACCAAGGGCAGGGTCTAAGGCAGTATCGATCGAAGGTGCCCCTAGGGATATCGCTATTTCTTCTCGTTCAGCTTCTCCAATATCCGTTGTTTTAGGACTTGAACTAGATAGGGAAGTTTCCTTCTTTTCTGTTGAGGCTCATTCTGGAGCATCCCGGGCATCTCTGTCAAGCCCTCCAACCTCTTCTTTCTTGGTATATGCTGTCTTTCCTCAAGGCTAAACCCAAAGGTATCTAATGGAATCAAACCCAGCTTTTCAGGTAGCTGCTTCAATTGCATGCATCTCACCCCCACGCTCGTTCGTTCCCCACGCTCGGTTGACTTGCCATATTAGTCTTACAATACGCTCAATTCAAATGAATATGATAAAGTCTAATGACATCTCACACCACCGTATAAAAGAATAGCATCTCACACCACCAAAGGTAGACTGTCCTCAAGTAGAAGTCTTTGCTGCTGAAGCTGGTTTTATGAAGAATCCCGGGGAAAGGTGCTTAGGCTGTTTCAGTAAAGTAAGTCAAGTAAGTACTCGGATGGGATAAGTGCCATATAAAGAGTATTCTCACTCTAAGTAAGGAAGTACCCTAATTATATAAGTATGTTCCGCTTCTGCTTTCTCGGTTAGTTCGAAGTTAAACTTTTTGAATCGAAACGAACAGATGACACAACGTTCCCAACCATGTCATGAGAAAAGAGTTCTAGTAAAGAAGAAATCCCGTAGAGTATGTGAACTAAGACATTCAAGCTAAACCTAGTTTATCGAATATCAGACTTTGAAGTAGAATGTCAGAAGTAGAAGAAGGGAGTGAGGCATTAACGAGTATCCTGAAATCCTGTGAGTAAGAAAGCCCCTTTTGACTATCTATCTATAACTGGGGGAGTTCTCTGAAAGCAAGGGAGTGAGCGGATAATAGCCCCCGGTGATTGAGGGGAAAGAGTATGTTGCTGCGTCCCCTGCAGTATCATTAAAGCCAGTAAAGGTAAGAGAGAAGGTTCCCTTGTTGATTATTCATATTCGAATGAGAAACTAACTAGAGACGAGTCTCTTGGATATGAGAAAAAGGTAAGAGATCAAACCGCTTCTGCCGCTGCTTCGGGATAAAGGGATTCTCACTCCAAGTAGGGAATTTTCTCAGTAATAGGATAGATGAGTCTCGGAAGTCAGAACAAGGCCCTGGCATCGATGCCAAGTGAAGCCTCATTCATAAGTATAAGGAGGGATGAAAGCCAAGTAAGTAGTTGCAGTCGCAGGTGTCTTTTCTGCGTTTAGGAGTTCTTCTTCATTTAGTTTCGGAATCTGGTTAGGGAGTTTCACTCTGGGATGGGCCAAATGCTGCTAAGGTATCGCCGTTTGAGAGGAAAGAGTGAGAAGCACTAAACAAGAGAGAAAACCCTATCTATCTGGAGATATACCTGAAAGCAAGGAAGTGCATCACGGGTGTGGGGCACTACCGCTTATCCTTTCACACACCAGTAACACGGGCTGCATTATGTCCTCAAGTATCTGCTCTAGTAAGGAAATAGGTGAACAAGTTTACTATTCTTGACTTTCAAATAGGCATAGAAGGAAGAGAGTAAGGAGTTGAGTCCCGTCGATGTAGGCTAGAAGAACAATCCGTCTCATATGCAGGACAGTCTAGTATCCATATCTTGAATAGGAGTCAGTGTGCATGGTCAATTCCATCTTTCCGCTGAAGGAGAATCCAATACCAGTACTCAAATAGTAAGTATCGAGAGTACGATAGTGATTAGCTGTCGAAGGCGATGAAGAAAGGAATTGGCTTGCTAGAGGACTTGCTATATTTTGTTGGCGTTCAATGAACCAATCCAGCCTTTGTTTGAGACGGTGGGTTGTGATTGAGCTTAGCTTGGCAGATCTCGCACCATAATGCTAGAGCTTATTTACGAAAAATAGATTGTTGGTATGGCAGCAGCTACCAAAAGCACACTAAGTTAGTTACAGGTAGAAACCTATGAGCTCTACTAGCTCTTCGACTCTATAAACTTGTCTTTCCGACCCATTTACCCCATCTTTCTTGCTTGCTATGAGCGTTGTTACTGCTACTCAGAACGGTCTTTCTTTGCCGGTTGCCGAAGGCTCTTAAAACCGACAGAATGAACCGGTAACGTTGCACTCCATCGGCTGATTTAGCAGCAGTAGCATCAGTGGCTTGGCTTTTCGGGCTGAAGGAAGAATCCTAGGGTGGAACTAGAAATCAACGGATAGAACCGATTCAACAGGGACTGAAGCTGACAAGCGATAGCCAAGTTAGGTGTAGGAAGGAAGATAAGCATCCAAATCCTCTTTTTATTCCTTAGCTTAGTCTGCTCTTAACACTTCTCGCCAAGTCCAATAAAATACAGACTCTCTATGACTCAA